GTTGAGGGCTGTCTACCTTGGAGAGGTTACTAGCACATACGTTGACAAGGTAGTTTAAAATCATATTCCTGAATGTGAAATTAGAATCCAGTGTACGCCATAGATAAAGGCGCCCATGTACTTTGCATACAGTTGAGGGCTGTCTACCTTGGAGAGGTTACTAGCACATACGTTGACGAGGTAGCGTAAAATCATATTCCTGACAAGGAAATTAGAATCCAGTATGCCATCAATTTAAAAGCCCATGTACTTTGCATACAGTTGAGGGCTGTCTACCTCGGAGAGGTTACTAGCACATGCGTTGACAAGGTAGTTTAAAATCATATTCCTGAATGTGAAATTAGAATCCAGTGTATGCCATAGATAAAGGCGCCCATGTACTTTGCATACAGTTGAGGGCTGTCTATCTTGGAGAGGTTACTAGCACATACGTTGACAAGGTAGTTTAAAATCTTATTCCTGAATGTGAAATTAGAATCCAGTGTACGCCATAGATAAAGGCGCCCATGTACTTTGCATACAGTTGAGGGCTGTCTACCTTGGAGAGGTTACTAGCACATACGTTGACAAGGTAGTTTAAAATCATATTCCTGAATGTGAAATTAGAATCCAGTGTATGCCATAGATAAAGGCGCCCATGTACTTTGCATATAGTTGAGGGCTGTCTACCTTGGAGAGGTTACTAGCACATACGTTGACGAGGTAGCATAAAATTATATTCCTGACAGGGAAATTAGAATCCAGTATGCCATCGATTTAAAAGCCCATGTACTTTGCATACAGTTGAGGGCTGTCTACCTTGGAGAGGTTACTAGCACATACGTGGACAAAGTAGCTTGACATTCTAGTTCTCTAAGGATAATCAAAATTTCAACAATGCCCTTGTTAAAGAAGCCCATGTGTTTTGCATACAGTTGAGAGCTGTCTACCTTGGAGAGGTTACAAGCACATACGTTGACAAGGCAGTGTAAAATCATATTCCTGAATGTGAAATTAGAATCCAGTGTATGCCATAGATAAAGGCGCCCATGTACTTTGCATACAGTTGAGGGCTGTCTACCTTGGAGAGGTTACTAGCACATACGTCGACAAAGTAGCTTGACATCATATTCCTGACAGGGAAATTAGAATCCAGTATGCCATCAATTTAAAAGCCCATGTACTTTGCATACAGTTGAGGGCTGTCTACCTTGGAGAGGTTACGAGCACATACGTGGACAAAGTAGCTTGACATTCTAGTTCTCTAAGGATAATCAAAATTTCAACAATGCCCTTGTTAACGAAGCCCATGTGTTTTGCATACAGTTGAGGGCTGTCTGCCTTGGAGAGGTTACTAGCACATACGTTGACAAGGTAGTTTAAAATCATATTGTAAGTGAAATTAGAATCCAGTGTATGCCATAGATAAAGGCGCCCATGTACTTTGCATACAGTTAATGGGCTGTCTACCTTGGAGAGGTTACTAGCATATATGTGGACAAAGTAGCTTGACATTGTAGTTCTCTAAGGACAATCAAAATTTTAACAATGCCCTTGTTAAAGACGCCCAATTTCCTTGAACTACAAGTAAGGGCTGACCTCCTTGTGGAGATTACTAGCACTGATTTTTCCAAGGCAGCATAAAAACATAATCCTTAAAGTGAAATGAGAATCCACTGTATCATTGGTCACTTGCTGAGTACTGAATAGGAGCCCTTGATCCAGGCGCCAAACCCCTAAAATCTCAGGCACCCTGTGTAGCAGTCCCCTCTGACATCTGCCCATGAATGCATGCCATAGGTCCTCCTGTTACTTGTGTGTAATTCAGGCCTGATGTGTGTGAGAAGCGTGTCTCTAAATGACAGAGTGTAATCACCCGAGGATTAATAAAGGATGTAAAATTTAAAAAAATATCTTAAAAGTCATTAACACACTGCAGTTAAAAGCAGCACACAGAGAGCATTGTCAACAGTGGATAAACTTAAATTTGGTGGGATTAAACGTAAAAAGGTGGAGAAAAGTATAATTCAAAGCGTTAAATAATAAATAACTAACTAGTAATAGAAAATTGCAGACGGAATATACTTAATTTCAGAAGCGCAAACCTTAGTATCTAATTTCTAGGCAAAAATTTAAATTATACAATTACACTTGCTTCGATTTGCTGATATAAGACATCGATAGTATTCCGATGCTGATGTTCAACATTTTATCGCATGCAAGAATGGACCAAAGTTAACTTTAAGATTTAGCTCACAGATAAACAATCCTCTGAAGCTCTACTTACGGGATTTTCACACGTGATCAATAACTCTACTAACGAATCTGGATGCTTCTAAAACAACTTATGAAGACTTTCGTTATCACTCCCTGTTTACCAGCGCAGGGTGGGATGTCTGTGAGTCGCCCTCTGTTCAGGAAAGTCTTAAATCAGAGAGACGGCTGAGGAGTGAGCTCCGCGCAGATGTCCGGATCCTCTTTGGTTTACCTTTGAATCCTCTGTTAAGTTTAATTCGAGAACGCGGCCTTGATCTCTCGTTCCCTTGTTACGCAGCAGCATTCCATAGTGCGTCACGATCTGACGCTACGTCACGATCTGACGCTGCGTCACGATCTAACGCTGCAGCCGTGCAGAGAACCTGTCCGCGTGGTGAGTGATTCCAGGCAGAGAGGGATTAATACTCTTAATCTGAATAATCGGTTATTTATTTGAATTATTTCGTTCACCAAGCCAGTAAGGTAAAGCACATTCTCATGCACTTTAGGCTGCTAAAATAGAATCATGCAAGGCAGGCTATATTAGGTAAGTGTGTGCATCAAACTTTATGTTAGGCTACATGCCACCTTTTGTTGTTGTCGTTGCTTTTTCCAACTCCACTATTAATTTTGAGGGACATTTAAAGTCACAGTTCACATATTATTCCAAATAGAGGTTTATTTTTCTAGATATCATGCAACTTTATTCCCCCACAATTCATCCTGGTATTTGAAACTTTTGGGATATTCACTTCAACACGATTTTTTTCTTGTTTAAGTAACTTTGTAGAACATTTAGATTTCAGATCAGACTAATGGTTAGAGCCCAGTGTACGGAGGCTGTAGTCCTCCAAGCGGGGCGGCCCGGGGTCGAATCTGACCTGTGGCTCCTCTCCTGCATGTCATTCCCCACTCTCTCTCTCTCAGTGGTTTCTGACTTGTCCTATCTCTAAAGGTGTAAAAAGCCCCCAAAAAACCCTTCCCTCTATGTGGTTTCCATAATGAAAGTCACATGCTATGCATTTCAATTAAAACTGCTTGTTTTGGATAATGTTTCTTTTTATGGAAGGATTACAGACATATGTCGTGATGTAAACGATTCATAAGTGAAATACTGATGGACACTTTACTCATATATGGGTGACCTGCGGTGTAAAAGCACTTTGAGTATTCAGAAGTCTAGAAAAATAACTTGGTTGTATTTTTTTACATGAAAAGAACTGATGAAGTACTCTGAGAAAAGAGAGGATGTTTCATTCTCGTGTTGCATTCAGACCACATGTTTCTCTCTCTGCTGTGTGCAGTGGCAGTCCATCACCATCACTCTGGTGGAGAAGGTGCAGATCATCGCCGTGTTCCTGGGCTCTCTCTTCCTGGTGGCGAGCATCTCCTGGCTCCTGTGGTCGGCTCTTAGCCCGCAGGCCGTGTGGCAGCGCCGCGACGTCCTCTTCCAGATCTGCTACGGCATGTACGGCTTCATGGACCTGGTTTGTGTAGGTGAGCCTGCTCTTAGCCCGCAGGCCGTGTGGCAGCGCCGCGACGTCCTCTTCCAGATCTGCTACGGCATGTACGGCTTCATGGACCTGGTTTGTGTAGGTGAGCCTGGGACTCGTCGGTGCAAACATGCTGAGATAAACATGACAATTAAATATGTAATTATTTAACAGATGGTTAATATACATGAGGTTAATCCATTTTAAAAAACTGTGTTGATAATTAAATATGACAGTGGTGATTCTAGAGTCCATCAAGGCTCTAAGCAAAACCCAATGGGGGCCCCTCCAGCCAGCGTTCATCGTCCAGATGCTTACTCTTTTTTTTTTTCACTCCCACACAGATAATTCCTCTTCATTTTCCTTCGCTGACCTTTCATTGACAGACTTTGGTTTTCACAGCAAACATGCATGCAGCGTTTAGCAGGGCATGGAGAGGGAGGTCCGATGGGGCCCCCTTAAGCCTGGCTCACACTGCAGGAGTTTTAAAATCCTTCCCCGATTTTTTAAACTTGGGTAACATCACACACATCAGGCGAAATCCTAACAGATCTTCTTCTCCATAATCTCAAACACACTCACACTACAAAATGTGAAAATATTAGCACTTCACAGACTTCAGGATTTTATTAGGATTATCGTGCCAGACGGAGGACGCACCACTTAACGTGACCTCACGTAAACAAATGAGCCGGCAGTTAAATGTGTGATTATTCTGCTTTGTACAGAGAGGGAATCACAGTTAAAAAGTTTTTCAAAAAGTTTTGGGTGAAGAAATGTCTGAGGAGACGAGGACAACATGGGTTATATATTCTTCAGTGAGTGCTGGAGGTCAGATTGTTACTATGAGCATTACAGGTGTCGAGCTCACCTGTGCGGTTTGCTGCCAGTCCCCACTTCTACACTTATCTGGAGGTTAGGATTGGATCTTTATACCACTCACACTACGAGATCATCTGGGCAGATTATCGAGCAGCCTTGAGTCGGGAGGGATTGTTGGGAAGGAGGAATTGGACCTCAAATCTGCCCGAGTATTCTGCAGTCTGAGCCAGGCTTTAGGGAGGTTTCCTACTGTCGTTGCAAAATTTGCACATTTTGAGCCACTGCTGTTGTTTAAAGTTTGTCAACCCTTAGGGGGGTCCCCTATTGGCCTGGGGCTCCAAGCAGGTTCCTGCTTTGCCTGTTGACAAACTGCACCCTTGAAAATAAATAAAGCTTCATGAGATCAAATGAAATGAATTCAAGTCGTACTAAAAAGGTCGTTCCTGACTAAAGAGAAGAGTTTTTCTTCTTTGGTCAAAGTTGTTATCATCTTTTTTTTTTTTTTTTTTTTTTAAGATTAATTTTTGGGCTTTTGGTGCCTTTTTTTAAAATTGAGAGACAGGACAGTGGATAGAGTTGGAAATCAGGGAGAGAGAGAGAGTAGGGAATGACAAGCAGGAAACGAGCCACAGATGGGATTCGAACCTGGGCCGCCCGCTTGAAGGACTATAACCTCCACTGCGTCACCAGTACCCCTTATCATCTTTTAAAAACCTTTATTTTATGTCTGAAATAGAAAAAAGAAGCTCTTTCCCTCTCTATCGAGGTTACGTGAGACACAATCTATAGCACAGACGGAGCTCAGCTTTAGTTCAGTCAGAGCTTATAGCTGCTCTATAAATGCTTCGCCATCATTCACAGACGGCTTCACTTCACTACACTACAAACACCGACTCGTGTTTACACAGGTTGACACGACACCTGTTATACCCTGAGTGTATACATTTTATTTATGGAGAATGATGCACCCAGAAAGTGTAAGTCACTCTGAATTTCAAAGTACCCACATCTGTGTTCCTGAGTCTGTGCATCACATTTGACTGTCCTGAGATTTGTGGTGTATATTTTTTATCATCATCTTCACCCATCGTCATTCATGGGTATTTATTGATATGAAGCCTTCAAGTTGAGCACAGGCTCTTTAATCTCTCTACAGCCTACATGTCTTTTACTTATTTCAAGGAATTCATGGAGAAGGACGAAAAAACATGCATGTTGAAGAGAAACAAACAAAAAACACATTTAAAAAAATCGGATTCCAATTATTTCCAGGAGCTTTAAATATCAGTTGGATTAGCATTAAAAAAGTGATCATACCAGTGGATCAAGATGATTTTTTTGTCCTTGTAACAGGTCTGATTGTCCACGAGGGGGCAGCAGTGTACAACGTCTTCATGCGCTGGCGGGCCGTCAACCTCCACTGGGACGTTCAGAGCTACAATAAGGCCAAGGACTTGGAGGAGACGAGCACTGGCCACTCCTCTTTGAACCCCAGGACGCTTTGGTTGCCTTTGGCCACCTTTGGGCCCGGTGGCCCTTTAAACCCCACCCAGCTGAGGTCGCAGCCGTGGACCTGCCTCTGCTTGGCCCCATTCTGCCCCGGCTTTGTACCCCGAAACAACCTCAGCCAGGACAGCGACTCAGGAGAGGTGGTGATTCGTGTAACATCCGTGTGACACCAGGCGGTATTTATACAGGGACATAACATCTGATGGTTTGCACAAGGTGGCAACGATCTGAGCTTCTCTGGACCGTTTCCAGTATGAGTTCTTCTTCTTTTGCAGATCTTTTTCTGTTACCAAATGTTTTTCTAAAGAGTTTCTAAAAAGTTGTTTTTGCTGCTCTGAGGCCGGCCCTCAAAAGATCTCAAACAGTTCAGTCAGGTGACAATGTTGCCTTTGTGTTACTCATCTCACATCCTCACCTTACACTCTTTGTTTTCCAGACCACTTTGCAGCAGTCATGTCATGTTAGATCGAACGTAAAGCTGGAAAAAACATGGCGGCACATCTCAAGATGGTTCAAGCTTGTAGAGTTGGCTTTGTGAGATTTGATATCCCATCAATACATCCATCCAGGTCGCGGGGGGCTGGAGCCGATCCCAGCTGTCATTGGACGAGAGGCGGGGTACTACCTGTACTCTAAACCAGTCAAGATTTGTTGTATGCTGTTAATTGATTGATTTGAGGCATTAAGGCGAGTTTGCTCTTTCAGTTAATTAGTGTCAGTTTTCCATAAACATTGTTTATGTTTGGAACGAACCCTAAACCCTTTTTAAAGAACGCCACATGACATGAATGCAGCAATATGGCCGACATGTATCAAGACTATATCAATGATCTTAACAATATCTCCACATAAACCGCTAAAGCTTCATTTTACAATCCCATTGTTTCCTATTTCTTGGTAATTCACTTTCTAATATGTCTACATAAATGTGAGAAGTTGGATCTATGTTACTCACATCTGTGCTCCGCTTCATTCAATCACTTCCTGATTTTCAGTCTCAACTCATCGTCGAGCTCAGCTCAACATTAATCACATCTCACAGTCTCATCTGACGCAGTCGTCCTGTTTTTAGTAGGGCCCGACCAATATGGAATTTTTTTGGGGCCAATGCCGATATCGATGTTAGGAAGAAAAATCACATACCGATATATCGTCAATATCTTTATTTGATCCCTCTTTGATCTTTAGAGATAGATTGATATAGATATACACATTTTTTGTGTTGATCCCTCGAACGCGGTTTTTAAAACACTTGTGGAAAAGATTTATAATGAAGACAAGATGGTCACTCAACTGGAGAGTAACTGTGCATGTCCGTGTATCACCGCTTGATACTCTGGAGAGTGATGATGCTTGTAGTAATCCATATTGCGCCCTCTGCTGGTGAAAGAGAACTGCTAGTGCAATACAAATTGAAACTCAAATTAATTTATATTTGAGTGGTTAATAAATCTATTGGATGAAATTAGCCGATACTGATAGTCACTTGATGTGCTAACATCGGCCGATATTATCGGGTGGTCGGTCAATCGGTCGGGTTCTAGTTTTTAGTTCAATCTTTACTTAGTCAGCCGCAGTTTATTCTGAGCCGTACTTGGATCTTGACATCATGAGGGGATTGATACCAGGATATAAACACTTCAGATATCTAAGCCTCTTCTAGATGGAGTCATGCATCAGTACGATCAATGTGGTAGAAGTGATCAAAGATTTGGATTTATAAAGGATCTTTGTGAAACTGCTCAACTGTTTTATATATAAAACCTTTTCTGTTGGAGGAGCAGACTCTTCCAGAAAGCATCAGACGGAGGAGGATGGTAGAGTGTCAGATAGAATCGCACAAGAAAAAGTAAAACCCTGATGTCAGAAAGACGTTGAAGTTTACGTTTCAACAATGCGGGCAGTAAAAATGGTCATGTTTTTAAACCTTTTTTTTAACTTGATCCTCAAGTGATTTGTGCCTGTATAAATACAGCTGTCAAAAAAAACATGTGTTTTGGATGTGTGTTATCCATTGTTTTGAGCTTCCAGGAGCCCCGTGGTGTTTGGGTTGTGGGGTTTCGGGGATGGGGGGGGTTGGTTTTTTGGTATTTTTTATCTATTTATTTTTGGTGCCTTAGGAGGTGGGGCGGCGACGCCTTCAATGAATGCACAGAATGTGACTTTTGCTGTCGGCTGTATTTCTATTTCTTTAGACTGTAACATGGATGTGATGTATAAAGAATATTTATATAAAAAGACAGCAGTGTGGGTCATTTCCTGGATTTCAAATTAAATTTAAGTGCATTCAAAAGCAGACCCAATCGGAGCTGAGGGAGCTCTCTGTCTGACTCTGCTCAACACTCTAGAATATTTCCAGGGGTATTTTCACACCAGCTCACACCAACTCACAGAACTCAGGGTAAAGTAGGGGTGAACAATTTGACCGTTTGAGTTTCACACAAGCAGCTTAGCCTGAAAAATGTCTGTGAATAGAGCATGTGAGAAACCTTTGCTTTGTGTTGGTGTTGGTGTCTCCCATGGACAAAGCGTACTGTATTTCTTAAAATACAAAAAAAACCTTGCACCACTCTGACAGTAAAATGTCACTCACAGAAAATCGCTGCCATTGATTATGTAGAACAAAAAGTTATTATAAACGGAATTAACTGCTGTCAATGTTAACGTCTTTGTTAAGGGGTTAATGGTTAATGAAGTCACACCTTGGGTTAACTATGCCAACCTCTGTGTAGTTAATCACTTCACTTATTCCCCGTAGTCAAAACACACTCTAATCATTTATTTAAGTTTAGAAATGTTAGATAGTAAATGAACTTGTATAGCACTTTTCTGGTCTTCTGACTACTCAAAGCTCTTTTACACTGCAGGTCAAACACATTCACACACTGATGGTAGAGGCTGCTGTGTAAAGTAACTAACTAACACACCCCGTGTCGACCTAGCTTCTTTTTAGCGCCAGCGTCTTAGTCAACGTCTATTGTTTTCAATGAGTAGACAGCGTTTGAAGCTGTGCGTCCACCTGGAGAAAAGACGCAGCTTCTTTTCTTCCGAGCGCTCAAGTTGAAAATCTTTCAACTTTTCAGAAAGGCGCTGTTGACGTCACCGGCGCTCTCTTCTAAATGTATGATATTCCCTTATGACAAAGAAATTATTTGAGCAATTAAGGTAGTCTGTAACTGGTCCATTTGAAACCAATGATGATGTAACCATCTCTGAGACACAGCACACTGACTTCAGTACAGAAAGAATGAGATGAAACTCAAAAAGAGAGAGAGAGCTATTCAAGAAAAAAAACCTGATAGATCAACAGAAAAAGAATATAAAAACAGACGAGCAGATAGTAAGATAAGACAAAGAAAACAAAACAGAAGAAGAAAGTGACATCTGGTGATGTCACTGATGATGTCATTCTGTTTCAGTCCTTGGATTGGTCCATTTGAAAACCAACAAGGATGTAACCATCTCTGAGACACAGCACACTGACTTCAGTACAGAAAGAATAAGATGAAACTGGCGTCATCAGGGCGCTCTGTTCTCCCTCATGCTCCGTCTAACTTTCTTTTTTTTAACCTAAAATATAAATAAAACTAAAAATATCTAAGAATCAGTTTAACATATGAAACTGTTCCATTACATAAAGACAAAGAGTAGAGTGTGTTTTGATGCCTATGCTACATGTTTATTGAAGCAGCTTAGCGTCTGCGACGAGCAACTGTCTTACGTCTGCGTGTAGCAGTGGACCTGCGGGCCCTCCTGCGCCTGCGAACGGGGCGAGAATCTCCTCTGCGTCTGCGTGGCATTATCAATAAGTGACCTCTTAGAGGGAGAGGGGTCCTATTTATAACCTCTGATGGCACGCTCTGTGATGTCACTGATGATGTCACAGGTCGTTACTTCTGTGCACTTGATGCGCGACGTGGTTGCTCTGACATCATCAGTGACATCATCAGTGACATCATATAACTAACCTGGCAAAGTTATAAATAGGACCCGCAGCAGTGAAGATATTTTAAATTAATCAAATCTCTGTTTTTTCCCTCTAGGTTGACTTCTTCTTTCTCAACAGGAATCTGTACCTACACCACGTCTTAACCGCGTGTTAACCGCGTGTTAACCGTGTCTTAACCGTGCCTTAACCGCGCCTTAACCGCGCCTTAACCGCGTCTTAACCGTGCCTTAACCGCGTCTTAACCGCGTCTTAACCGTGCCTTAACCGTGCCTTAACCGTGTGTTAACCGCGCCTTAACCGTGCCTTAACCGTGTGTTAACCGCGCCTTAACCGTGTGTTAACCGCGCCTTAACCGCGTGTTAACCGCGTCTTAACCGTGCCTTAACTGCGCCTTAACCGCGTCTTAACCGTGCCTTAACCGCGCCTTAACCGTGCCTTAACCGCGTCTTAACCGTGCCTTAACTGCATCTTAACCGTGCCTTAACCGCGTCTTAACTGCGCCTTACCTGCCCTTAACCGCGTCTTAACCGTGCCTTAACCGCGTCTTAACCGCGCCTTAACCGCGCCTTAACCGCATCTTAACCGTGCCTTAACCGTGCCTTAACCGCGCCTTAACCGCGTCTTAACCGCGCCTTAACCGCACATGAATGTGATGTGAGAAGTTGAAGGAAAAAAAGTGAACATGTATGTAAAAATGTTTACTTGTATAAAAAATCCACTACTTTTCTGTCGTGAATCTGCGCTGCTTGAGTTTTGCAACACATTTTGCGAGATGTCTGTAGCAAAACAAATTTGTACTTGTGGAAAGGCCCCCTCCCCCTCCCTCCTCCCCCCTCCCCTCGCTGTGTGTCTACATGTGGGGGGAATTGGCCAATCAGAAGTAAGTTTCCAGTGAATGCGGTTTATATACTCACCACAATCACAAACTACAAGATAGTACAACACTTGCATTAACAGTATAAACACTATAACGACTCAAGTTACTTTTAAGAAGAAATGATATAATTTGCAAGGGATTGTGGGATAGGTAGTCCCTTGACTCAGGACAAAAATTATGTACACAGTCTTGTATCTTTGCCCTTTTCTACTATTTGTATATTTCTACAAGTACAAATTTGTTTTATACAAGTTCACTTTTTTTCCTTCAAGTTCTCACATCACATTCTACACGCTCTCCTATTTTGCAACATATCTACCTTCATAATTAACGAGCAGCAGAGACTCAAATCACACCACAGAGGCTTCACGATAAACGGCTCGCGGTTCGCCGACAAAAAAGTTATTTTTTTTCCCTTATAGAGCCCACTCCTTGTTGACGTGAGCGCAAGTTTACAGACGAGCTAACGTATCAGAGTATCATTTACATAACGTTTTTATCGCAGCAGCTCATACAGCGACAGTACGGCAGCTTTCAGTAGCAGCTCACGCTTCATTATGCAGAGGTCTTTGATGTAATATCTGTTGTTACCACGGCAACGATAAACATTCCATGTCTCTCATTTCTGTCACATGGAGCTAGTGGCAGCCCTGCAGTGTTCTGCCCCAGGAAGGCTTCCAGAGAGCTACATGGGGAGAGGGGCCTCTAAGAGACAGCTAAAGTGGATTTGATTGTCGTTCACTATGACGCACTACGACATCACATGATCCATTTTTGTGGGCTGATTGGTCCTGAAACTCCACGTCTGCTGGTTCAGGCTACCACAGCAATGACATCACTATCTGCAGCTGGCAGTGCGATGTATACTCCACTACAGAGAAGGGAATACGTGAGGTGAAGAGTTGTAGTTCCATCATGGCTTTTTCATTTTAATTAAACGCTCTTCAAAAAGAGAGAGAGAGCTATTCAAGAAAAAAAACCTGATAGATCAACAGAAAAAGAATATAAAAACAGACGAGCAGATAGTAAGATAAGACAAAGAAAACAAAACAGAAGAAGAAAGAAGACGCTACAGTGATGCTGGAAACTAACAACATGCTCGCTGCGTGGTCGTCAGATACACCGACAAGTCAACGTTTGAGGGTGAACTGCCCCCTATTTAAAACCTCTGGTGATGTCACTGATGATGTCATTCCGATCCAGTCCTTGGATTGGTCCGTTTGAAAGCCAACAAGGATGTAACCATCTCTGAGACACAGCACACTGACTTCAGTACAGAAAGAATAAGATGCTCTGTTCTCCCTCATGCTCCGTCTAACTTTCTTTTTTTTAACCTAAAATATAAATAAAACTAAAAATATCTAAGAATCAGTTTAACATATGAAACTGTTCCATTACATAAAGACAAAGAGTAGAGTGTGTTTTGATGCCTATGCTACATGTTTATTGAAGCAGCTTAGCGTCTGCGACGAGCAACTGTCCTACGTCTGCGTGTAGCAGTGGACCTGCGGGCCCTCCTGCGCCTGCGAACGGGACGAGAATCTCCTCTGCGTCTGCGTGGCATTATCAATAAGTGACCTCTTAGAGGGAGAGGGGTCCTATTTATAACCTCTGATGGCACGCTCTGTGATGTCACTGATGATGTCACAGGTCGTTACTTCTGTGCACTTAATGCGCGACATGGTTGCTCTGACATCATCAGTGACATCATCAGTGACATCATATAACTAACCTGGCAAAGTTATAAATAGGACCCACTGCAGTGAAGATATTTTAGATTAATCGAATCTCTGTTTTTTCCCTCTAGGTTGACTTCTTCTTTCTCAACAGGAATCTGTACCTACACCACGTCTTAACCGCGTCTTAACCGCGTCTTAACCGCGTGTTAACCGTGTCTTAACCGTGCCTTAACTGCGCCTTAACCGCGCCTTAACCGCGTCTTAACCCTTGCCTTAACCGTGTGTTAACCACGCCTTAACCGCGCCTTAACCGCGTGTTAACCGTGCCTTAACTGCGCCTTAACCGCGTCTTAACCGCGTCTTAACCGCGCCTTAACCGCCCCTTAACCGCGTCTTAACCGCGCCATAACCGTGCCTTAACCGCGCCTTAACTGCCCTTAACCGTGCCTTAACCGCGTCTTAACCGCGTCTTAACTGCCCTTAACCGCGTCTTAACCGCGCCTTAACCGCGCCTTAACCGCGCCTTAACCGCGTCTTAACCGCGCCTTAACCGCGCCTTAACCGCGCCTTAACCGTGCCTTAACCGCGCCTTAACCGCGTCTTAACTGCCCCTTAACCGCGCCTTAACCGCGTCTTAACCGCGTCTTAACTGCCCTTAACCGCGTCTTAACCGCGCCTTAA